ACTGTGGCCGAGCAACCAAATGTCCAGATGTTCAATTTTAAATTTTTATTTTATTTTATTATGGTACTGGGGATTGAACCCAGTGTCTTTGCACTGAGCTACATCCCTGGCACTTTTAGCTTTTATTTTAAGACAGAATTCACTAAGTTGCCCAGACTGGGCTCAAACTTGCAATCCTCCTGCATCAGCCTCCCAGAGTGCTGGGATTACAGGCCTGCACCACCATGGTTGGATGGACTCCTGAAAGTTTAATTTTAATGAATTTAACTTTAATACATGTTACTCAATTTCAGTTGTTGGAAATGTTTGAGGATGCTTGGTACATCCTGGGTTTATGAATCTCATTTTTTCAATTATACTTGTTTGTGAAATCTAAATACAGACCATGTCTTTCTGATGAACATTTAGCCGCCGAAGAGTGATAGGCTGCAAGTGCAAAATAATACCCAGACTTCAAAGATATCTTGCCTAGATTATATATTGCAGTGGTATTCGTGTTTCTGATGTGTTAGGTTAAAAATAAAATCTATTATTAAAATTAATTTCATCTTTTCATTTTACCTTTTTAATGTGACCATTAGAAATGTTAGAATTCCATCCTGCGGCTTTTGTCATGATTCTCTGGGACAGCACTGGCCCAATCAGTGGGGACCCAGGCTTAGGATCCTAGGGGCAGGGAGGGCAGAAGATACGGCTGAAAATAACCTTTCCTGAGCACAAAGTTGGGCTTGTGGACAATGGGCAGCCACTGAACCCCTTCAGTGAAATTTGCTGCAGAGCTCTTCAGTTGTCCCCTGTCTTTTCTACTCAGCACTTTCCCCTTGGGCCACCCCTCCCACAGACAGGGGGAGGAACAAAGGCCTGGAGAGACAGGGATTGGCCATCTTGGTTCTGTGAGCCAGTGCCCAAGGCCGCTCCCAGCGTGGCAAGGACACCAAGAGAATGTGGTCCTTCTTGGGTCCTGTCTTTCAGGCCACACTGCAGGCCTCTCCCATGGTGGCAGGAAGCCCAGTGGGGGTAGAGGTGGGGAGCCTACTATCCTCAGCTATTTCTGGGGCAACCAACTTTCCAGGCCCTATCACTGAAATCTTGCATCACAGGAGACTCTCAGTCCTGGACGAACCAGGACAGTTGGCCACCTTGACTGTTCCACCCAAGCAAGCTCTAAAACTCCAGGTAACTCTGTCACTTCAGTCCTCAGCAGTGGGCAAGAGAGCAAAACTCCATGGCCAGGCCTTGTGCTATCTGTGCAAAACCCTCTTGCTGATGGGTCAGGGTGACCTAGACCTAAATTCCCCTGTTCTCTTCTTCATTCATGCACGCAGAACATTGTGGGGCACCTTACACTGGCTCTGTGCCCTGGCTCTGGAGCTACTGACTCTGCCCTTTCCTAGAAGGGAACTCACGGACTGTGTATACAATGGCATCCCAATAGTTTGCTAATGTTAACACAGTGCTATTGTGAGTGCTGGAGTTTGCCTGTGGAAAGCCCTGGAGACAGCAAGCCTTTGATGAGCACCATCTTCCACCCAAGTCTAATGGAAATTCCAGGACCCCCTGTAGATGCCTGAAACTATAGATTATACCCAAATATATGTATACTGTTTTTTCCCACATGCCCAGCAGCATGGCACCCAGTGCCAGATTTCACCTGTCTTTCCGTGTTTTATGCCCCAGCACCTCCTTGACATCATTTCTCTTGTTCTGTGGGGCCATTATAAAGCAAATTAAGGGCAACTTGAACACAGCACTGTGATTCTGTGATAGTCGATCAGCTAATAAGTGACTAATGCGGAAGTAGTTTATAGAGACTGGATATGGTGGCCCTGGGGATAATTCCTGTTCACCATAAGGCAGGAGAGATTCCCAGTGCTCATTAGCTCCTCCTAGTGGTAGGAAATGATATAGCTGGGGATCAAGAAAGGGTCTCCAACGAAACAAGATTCTAGATGAACAATGAAATATGAGTGATATTCGCTAGTGCAGAGGGATGGGGACAGTATTCCAGGTGGAAGGGGCTGGCGGGGGAGAGTGTGGCTAAAGGGTCCACTCCCAGGGAATGTGGCTCCTACCTGGAAGCTGGTAGGCTGGCAGGAGTCAGACCACATACAGCTGGCAGTGAGCGGTCAGGGCAGAGTGATAGGCAGGAAGAGGATATCATCTGGCTCCACTAGACTTGGGATGTGTTTGCCCCTTCGGGGAAAGGGACAGGGATAACTAAGAAGGGATAATCGCTCCTTTTCCCTTCGGAAGAGTTTGGTTTTATCTGCTTGTCTTATTGCCCATAAGAAATACATAAGCAAACTAACCCAGTGAAGAGTAGAGTCAGGAAGTGCCTGTGACCCCAGTCTGTTCTGGTGCATAGCTACCCCAAAGCCCAGGGCCCTTTCCTCCCACACCCCAGGAAACACGGGGATCTGGGCAGCCATTCAGCATTCCAGGCCATGTCTTCCCAGGCACCAGCAGTCACCACTTCTGTTCACTGGGGAATCTGGGTCCACAGCAAGTTTGCCACCTGCAGGAAATCACTGGCTCCAAAATACATGAAAAATACAGAATCAAAATGAACAAACAACCACAAATGTGATGGTACAGACTGCATTCATGGTTAAACATTCATTAATATTGCATTACATTTGAAAATAATCCCTTCAGTTTCTCACCTCACAAGAAGAGAAGAGTGTGGAATAACTGCCCAGAAATCATAATAGGAAATTTTAAATGTCCTATTCAGAGCCAAATGACCTCAGAAGAAGATTTATAAAAATCCTTTTCAAAATTTCTACACCAAAAAAAAAATTTGTATTTCCTGATGTCGGTGAATTGGGATGCGTTTTCTACCACATATACACAGTGTGATTTCCAAACATAGTGTTGCCAGAGTCCCTGAAAATCATAATCAGCCCATGTGATATTGTGATGAATAAGAAAAGAATGTGGCACAACTGGAAATACTCAACTTTGATACACGGTCAAGTGCAAAAACAAGCTGGTGAAGAAACTTTCCAACTATAAGTCCATTTATGTGTTTGAAAGGTATAGTTACAATTAAAAGAGCTAACATTGAACGCTGAATGCTCTTCCCCTCTCTACTCTCACACTATCTGGTTAACAAAATGTGTGGTGTGGTGCCTCCCACTGTGTTAATAAACTTTCTGTCACTGTGACAAAATGCTTGAGATAAAATATCCTTAAAAAGAGGAAAGGTTTGTTTGGCTCATGGTTTCAGAAGTTTTAGTCCATGGTTGCATGGCTCAGTGGCCTTTGAGCCTGGGTGACTATGTCATGGTGGGCATGTGTGGAGGGCAATTGTGTTCATCTTGTGGAGCCTGGGACACAGAAAAAGAGAGAAGAGAGGAAAGAGAGAGAGAGAGAGAGAGAGAGAGCACTGTGGTGCCACTGTCCCCTTTAAGGGAACATCCCTGATAACCTAACTTCCTCCATGCCTCCTAAGTTCATCATCTACCCCTAGCATCATAGGCAAGGGCCCAAGTCTTTAACACTGGCCTTGGGGCCATTCAGTATCCAAACCCTAGCACCCACTGAGGAATTCTCCAACACCAGCTGGCATCCTATAACTCAATGCAATGCTGACACTATCTCCCTAGAGTTAATGTCAAATCCTACAGGCTGGGGCTCAGTCCTGCGAGACCCCCATCCCACCCCTGCCAGATGCCTGTTGCAAGTCTGGGCCTCTGCTACTTCTGACTAACTGGCTATAATTTGGGGTTCCCATGATAGACCCTTCTCAGATCTGAACAGTTGCTGGAATGGCTCATAGAGCTCAGGGGAACACTTTGCTTACTTTATTACAAAGAATATTTTTAAGGATACAACTGAACAGCCAGGGGTTGGGATGTGGCTCAGTGGTGCAGCACTTGCCTAGTATGCATAAGGCCCTGGGTTCTGTCCCCACCACCACAAAAAATGAAACAAAAACAACAAATCTAAATGATCAACCAGATGAAGCATTCCACGGATGCAGTATGTGAGGGGCACAAAATTCCCATGTCCTTCCTGGGTTCCCTGAACTCCAGATAACCTCCACATTTGAGCAGCCTGGAGCTCCCCAAGCCAAGGCCTTTGGGGGATTTATGAAGGCTCTGGTACAGGTGTGCACTTGGTCCTTGCTCAACCTTCAGCCCTTCTCCATCCCCTGGCACCAGGAACCACAGCTATCTATCATCTCATAAGCATGCAAAAGGACACTTACTACTTTAGAGATTCCTAGAGATTTAGGAACTAGGTGCCAGGAAACAGATGAAGACCAAATATATATACATTTATTATAAATCACAATGTCACTGAGTCAAATAGTAAATATTTTAGGGGGTTGGGTCTTGCAGTCTGTTACAATTATTCAGTTTTGCCCTTGTATCACAAAAAGCAGCCATAGATGATGCTTAAGTGAATGGCTGTGTTCCAGTAAAACTCTAAAAGTAAACACTGTGCCAGATTTAGCCTGAGGACTATAATGTACTGACCCCTGTTCTACATCATATTCCATTTAATCCTCAAAAGAGCCCTTTATAATAGACACTATTCATGCCCCTGAATTGCCCATGTGGAAAGTAAGGCAGAGAGAGATTAATTGACCTGTTCAAGCTCAGCAGGTCTTTATGCAGCTTTAAAAATAAATCTGGAGGGCCAGGGATTTAGCTCAGTGGCCCCACACCTGCCTTGCAAGTACAAGGTCCTGAATTTGATCCCGGTACCAATAAATAAATAAATAAATAATCAATCAATCTGGAAAAGACACATCCAAGTGGCTAACAGCACATTTAGTGCTGGGGGAGAGGAGTAAGGTGGCTTTTTCTGTTTTTCGTGCTTCTATAATGTTTTCATTGCTCTCCAAAAGTGAACATATATGCTCCAATTTTAAATCACAATACAGTATATTAGTCTTGGGGGGAAAGAGTGAAGGCTAACCTAAAAATATTCTTCAAGAGCTTAAAAAACTCACACTGTCTTCTGTGCTCTCTGCTCATCTCCTGCCTTAGTGTGGACCAATACTGTGGACCTGGCAGAACAATCCATGCCTGAGGGAATGCCTGGGGCAGCCTCTGCCTCCGAGATTTATGTGGAACAGGACCTGGCCCAGCAGGAAAAGGTGAGGTATCCAAGGGAAGGACTGAGCTACAGCAACCGGAGGGCAGCAGGGGGACTTGCTACCACCTCTTGTTGTTCTTTGTGGCCTGTTGTCCAAGAAACCATTTATTTGACCAAAAGTTATATCCTACATAACAACATCTATAAACCTCTGCTTATTAAGCACCTAGTGTGTGCACTTGGCTTTCGTTAGCTCCTTTAATCTTTGCCATCTTCAAAATAGATTTTATCACCTTTGTTTTGCCAGTGAGGAAACTGAAGCTCAGAGAAGTAAGTAACTTGCACAGTGTGAGAGGAAGAACTGGGCTTTGGGCCTGGGTCTGGCTAACTTCTAAGCTGGTATTACTGACTCCCACACAGTAACCACTCATTCATCCACACAAGATGGAGCAGCCATAGGAAAAAGGTTTTCTAGCAGGAGGAAGTGATAGGTGACATCAGAGGCAACTGAGCCAAGGTGAGACTTCTTACAGAACCAGGGAGATTTGGAGAATTGAAGCAGAATGGGGTCAGGACATGTGCATTTCAAACCAGGAAGGATGGGTCAAGGTTAATTTCTCTCCACTTAGCTACAATTTGAACTTGTCCTTAAGAAGACTGTCTCCAAATGTCTCATTTTCCTAAGGATCAGGGCTGAGCCTGTAGCAGTTCTGAATCTGTGGGGAAAAGGGCCACCTGGGGCTCTTGTGACACTCAGGACATTCCTAGGAATCCACAGCATCAAGTGAAGGATGCTTCTGAAGCAGGTGTCCCAGGACCAGATGGCAAAATGTTTCAGGAGTGGAAAACCAGCCTTGGACTTGGTTATGGCTTGTGTCTAGATGTCCCCACAAAGCTTCATGCAGTCATAGATGGGGCTTTTTCAAAAGTGGCTGGATCTAGACTGTGTAACACTAGGATTGACTCATGGTGCAATGCTAGGATCAAAGGCACTAGGATTAAGGGTGTGTGAGTGCTACCTGCCATAAGTAGCCTGGATAAAATATAAGGGATAGAAAGAGCTCTGGTTGTTCCTTGCTTGCTTTGCTACCTTCTGACTGCCATGAACTGTTTCTCCTCTGCAATGCCTTTCTGCCATGCCACCTTGCCTTGGAGCCAGCCAATTATGGACTGAAACTTTTACAAACTGTGAGCTAAATAAACCTTTCCTCCCTTAACTTGTGGGTGTTGGGTATTTTGTCCCAGCAACAAGAAAAGTAACTAAGATAGACCTACTGTCGCTTACCTGCACTGGGCAACAAGCCAACCCCAGACTTCGTGGCTTCCAACAGCAGCTTGTTATTTCCCATTACTCCTTGGCTGGCTGGCAGGCTTCCTCAGCCTGGACTTCTTGCCTGTGCCATGCACTGTGGTCACTGGTGCAATGGTGAGGCTGGTGGTCCCAGATGACTGTGTTCCCAGGTCTGAGATGGCAGCCAGGATGCCTAGAAGGTGAACCCATCTGCTCTGGCTTTTCAACCTGGGCTTCTCTAGGGCCCTGGGGGCCAGGACAGAAGCTGCACCACCTCTGAAAAACTTGCCTGGAGATCACTGGGCCCCCTCCCATCACATTCCGTGGGTCAAAGCAGGTCGAACGGCAGCCTAGACGTAGGGGATGGGGCGATGAGCTCTGCTCAATGGCACATGCTGCAAAGTACTCATTCCCATTTTTAATCCACTGCAGTTATTAAACTGGAAATACAATGCAACTGTGTTTATAATTTTTTCTATTTACAATCCATCTATCCCCTGACTTGCCAGGATTCTTCCAAGTGCAAGTGACAACAAACAAATTGGTTTAAGGGAGGGGAGAATAAAAGCACCTATTGGCTTACTTTATTAGGGAAATGTAAAGACTCACTAGTGTCGGGTCTGGCTAGATCCAGGAGCTTGAATGACATCATCAAAAGCCTCCCTGCTGCCAATTTCTCCTGTTCTCATTATAGTTTGGATTCTTCCAGCAGGCCAGATTCTTGGGTTAGAAAAGATTATGGCAGACAAACTCAAGTCTTTAAATTTAAAGTTTATGACCTAAAAGGAAGCAAGACCTTCCTCCTCTTGTAATCAGTGTATGGCATCTGCAGAGATTGGGTGGACTAGCTTGGGTGACATGGCATGGGGAGGTGGGACAGGAAGGAGCAGGACACATGATTGGCACACCCACCAAAGACACATGGTGGATGGGAGACTGCCATAAGGAAGGACACAGAGCCTCACCAGGAAGTCAGACACTGCAGCTGCAGACCATACCCTGAAGGCTCCTTTGGCCCCAGCAAGGGTCCAGCAATAGTAGGTGCCCAATAAATGTTTGTTGCATGAATAATGAGTGAGCATCTGCTGACAGAGACTCTGAGAGACTTGTTTTGGATGAAGCAGGGGCCTACCCTGGGACACAGACCCTGTCCCTTGAAATCTCATCACAGCATTCACCAGGACCCAGAGAAAGATACTAGGCAGCAGCTGGCACTGCTACATAGGCTCCTGTGTGACCGAGATCCCATCCTTGCCAAGAAACTACAAGTTCATCAGACTCGTTCAAGACTTTGCAGACCATGAGCTGGCCTGGAAACGGCCCCTCTACCTCCTGACCAGTGGGAAATGGCTGGAAGATCGAGGATCCTTTCAAAGTTATGAGCCAGACAGGATGGGAAATGCCTGTAATCCCAGCACTCTGGGAAGCTGAGGCATGAGGATTCCAAATTCTAGCCCAGCCTGGGAAACTTAGTGAGTTAGTAAGATCCTGTCTCAAAATTAAAAAGACAATATGGGACACAATGAAAGCAGTTGTACTCGGGAAATTCATAGCAGTGAATGCCCATATTAGGAAATCAGAGAGAACTCAAATAAATAACCTAATGCAGAACCTCAAGCTCCAGGAGAAAGAAGAGCAAGTCAAAACCAAAGCTCATACCAGGGAGGAAATTATAAAGATCAGAGCAGAAATCAATGCAATGGAGACTAAGAGAATGATACAAAAAAATCAATGAATCAAACAGTTGGTTTTTCAAAAGAATAAATAAAATTGATAAACCTTTAACCAACCTTATCAAAAAAGGAAAGAAAAGGCTCAAATCCATGCAATTAAGAATGAAAAAGGTGAAGTCACAACAGACCCAGCAGAAATCCAGAGGATCATCAATACCTACTTTGAGAATGTGTTCTCTAATAAAGTGGAAAACACAGAAGAAAAGGACAGATTCCTAGATACATACGAATTGCCAAAGTTAAATGAAGAAGATACTGAAATTCTAAACACCCCAATTACAATGAGTGAAATTGAAAATGTAATAAAAAAAATTTACCAACAAAGAAAAGCCCAGGTCCTCATGGCTTCACTGCTGAATTCTGCAAGACATTTAAAGAACTATCACCACTACTCTTTAAGCTCATCAAGGAAATTGAAAGGGAAGCAATACTTCCAAATTCATTCCTGGAAGCAATGTTACTTTGATTCCAAAACCAGGGAAAGACACAACCCAAAAAGAAAACTACAGGCCAATCTCCCTAATGAACATAGAGGCAAAAATCCTCAACAAGTTACTGGCAAACAGAGTACTGGCAAAAAGAGGGTCATCAAGAAGATCATACACCCTGACCAAGTCAGATTTATCCCAGGGATGGTTCAACATATGTAAATCAATAAATGTAATACACAATATTAACAGAGTCAAGGACAAAAACCATATGATCATCTCAATGGATTCAGAAAAAGCATTTGACAAAATCCAGCACCCATTCATGATAAAAACCCTACAGAAATTTGGAATAAAAGGTCTTTATCTCAACCTGATTAAGACTATCTATGAAAAACCAACAGCCAACATCATACTAAATGGTCAAAAACTGAAAACTTTCACACTAAAATCAGGAAC